GCATTGTAGGGAGGAAGGAGAACTTCCCTCGACCTACTGGCCACAGTCCTCCTAATGCATCCCAGGATCCCATTAGCCTTCTTGGCAGCCAGGGCACGTTGCTGGCTCATGGTCAACCTGTCATCCCCCAGCACTCCCAGTCCCTCTCCGCAGAGCTGCTCTCCAGCAGGTCAGCCCCAGCCTGTACTGGTGCATGGGGTTGTTCCTCCCCAGGTGCAGGACCCTGCACTTGCCCTTGTTGAATTTCATCAGGTTCCTCTCTGCCATGAAGATGTTCAGCATCAGCCCAGGCTTCAGGCAGCTGTTTCTCTGATGCCAATCGGGACTTTCTGGGCAGCACCTTCAGGCCAAGGTTATGAATGCAGAGAGGAAAGCAAAGAGCTGAGCGGCCCCATCCCAGATTCCCACCAGGGAGAGAGGAGTCCTTCCTGCTAGGGCCAGGACAACCTTGTGCCACCCATCACCCCCAAACTTCGAGACACCAGAAAAAGATATCTCAGCCCGCCTCCTGGTTTCGGAGCCTGCCAGGGACACGGCTTCACACCGCTTCCCACACCCGCCTCCCAAAATAGAGGAGCTAGAAGTCACACTGCTTCTGCGAACGACATGCGAAGATTCACACGGGATGATGTGACCCCACCAGCTCCAGCTGTGTGAGAGCCGGCAACAGGAGGGCTGTCACCCCCAAACTGCAACGGGAATGCCTGAGGTCCCAGCAGCCCCCGCCAGCACCCAGGACGTGTGCCAGAAACCAGCACCCTTGTGCATTAAGTGCAAGAGTTTTCACAGTGCCAGGACTGCTTCCCTTGTGCACGGTACCCACACGCCGAGCATCCTTGCCTGGGACCCCAAGGATCGCCCGCCGAGCACAGCCATGGCACCGGGTGAAAACAAGCCTCCCAGCAAAGCACAAGCTCTTTGCAGGTTATCACAGGGCAAAACGCTGGAGACCACGCACCCACGAGGCATCGAAACACGCTTACAGATCCCCACGATGCACTTCTGTTTCTCCTTCAGGCCATCAGATGCATATTAAAAAGGCACTTTGGGGCAAGCCACAGACAGCTCAAGGGCGTTTGCAACTGAAAGCAAAATGATGTAATACAGGAGTAAACCGCAGACCTTCCCAGTGCACAGAGTGGGAACACTGGGCTTGAGCTGGGCCACTTGGCCAGCAGCTGAGGAAGGCAGTGGGGATGGCTTGCCCTCATCAATAGTGACTACTAAACTGCGCTTCGTCCAAACGGCCCCGCAGACGACTACTTCGCTAGGATAAATTCCTCCACCGAGATAGGTTTGTGTATTTACTGAACCACCCATTGAAATTCAGACCAGGCAGTGGAGAGAGAGAGAGAAGAGAAGCAACCTTGCTGCCGCGAGATCCGACACCTCCAATTTGCCTTGCACACGCTCGAAATGATTCAGCTGGATCCAGCGTTCATCTGAATGCAGCGAGCAGTCCCGGGGATGTGCCACCGTGACCCACTATTAATTTACTTGCAGTTAATATGCAGCTTTAAGAGCCACTTACTTATTTGAATCAAAAAAAGTCAGTTTGGAGAGATGAGGGAGAATTTTGATTTCTTGTTTGAAAGTAGAAATTGCGTAGGACGGATGCAGGGATGCTGCCAGTGACAGGAAGGGAAGTATCCCACGTCCCTGGACCACCAACCACAGCTATCCAGCACCTTTGAGCAGGAGCCACAGGATTTGATTTTGGGGTGCACTGAGAGTCCC